CCGTATCTCTTGTCATTTGTAAGTATCACTTTTGTGAAAATCGATGAATCAGAAGATGAAAAAAAAAGAATAAATTTTCTGTGGAATTTCTAGTCTCACATGACAATAGCAATGTTAGGCAACGTAGGCCAGAAGAACAGTTCGGCAGATTATGTGGCAAGAAGGAGAGATAGTGCATGAACGAAACGGATTACTGAATAGTACCTGAACAATGTTGAAGGGCATCAGTTAAAGAAAGGGATCCATCTACTTCCTAGAAAATGAGAGGCGTAAAAAGCTAAAAATGCCAAAATGAGATATGCAAAAAACGTGAAATGCTAAAATAAGAGATGTAAAATGCTTGAAAATGAGAGATTTTAAATGCTAAAAATGCCAAAACAAGAGGTGTAAAAAACATAAAATGCTAAAATTAGAGATGTAAAATGCGCGAAAATGAGAGAAGTGCTACGAAAAAAGAAGTTATCAGTTGAATCAATGAGAAAATGTCACTTGGTGAAGAGAAAATAATTCAACAAGGTATCAAAGTTCGCATAAAACCTTTGAAAACTCAAAATAAAAAATGCCACATGCAAGCAGTAGTGGGGAGAGCGGATAAAAATCCAGAAATGTACAGCTCAGAATGCAAATCCCAGCGAATAGGCGCATTTCAGTAAAATCAAAAATACACTTGGGGAATCCAAAACTGCTTTAACAATTACAGTAATTTTTCGTACCATCTCTCAAACTCACTAAAATTTTTATGACGAATGGCAGTAAAACTTACCCAACGAGTCATTGATATGGAATGCGCGAAGATACTGCAAGCCAATTGTATTGTCAAATTTCGTAATCGTTTCATGGTATACCTCTTCTGACCGGATATCATATCCTGAAACAACAGAAAACTGTGCTCTTGTTAAGCTCAGCAATCCAAGGTTTCCATGAAATTGCATGAGGCTGTCAATAAAACATCAGTAGGTAGATTATAACTGCTGTGAATCCCACTTTTTGCAGTTTTTTAATCCAGTTCAGTGGTTTTTTTTTTTATTCATTAAAAAGTAATGACAGGGTAATGAACAATCAATGAAGAGAGTACTGAGGAGTGCTACATGACCATGTATTACATGACTCCTCAACATGTCATACGGTTTGTGCCACATTAACAGCTCTACTATTTCCTCCATCATAATTCTTTAACTAATTCCATCCCACATATTAAAATTTAAGGATTTCAGCCGTTCTGTATTTTCCACAATTCGCGCTTGCCGTTATTTCAGAAATTACGATTCGGCCTACCAACGACTGCCAAAAAAAATTTTTTTTTTTATCAACTTAACCCACTTCGGCCGCCTCACGTGGACAGGTCCATTTGTGATTAGGCCTTCTAATGGCTGTTACTTATCATCTCTCAGCGAAGAGTATAAAAGCATATATTCTTTAACAGACAAAGATACTTTGACCAGTTGTACCCCATAGTGTGGCACTTCAAATATGCAATTTTCAGTTTTCCTAGCTGCTTTGACCAATGCTCCGTGTCCTACTGGTCAGCCTAGAGGCAAGCTTGCCGTTTGTTTCTTTTCCTGAAGCTGTTATCGCACTCTGCGGCTTCCCAGAAAGAAGCATTTGGTAAGAAAACTGCCGTTGATGTGCATCCGGCAAAACCTCTCCTCTTAGACCATGAAGAGGTATTTGGCCAACTAGGAGACATCTGTAAAATAATGCCGAAAACTGTCAAATAATAAAAATTTCTGGAAACAAACCAGCAGCAAAAATATGACATGTATCGAGGCACACTCCGACACGTTTCTTATTCTTTACCATCTCGATAATTTGCTGGATTTCTTCAAATTTTCCACCAACCGTATTTCCTTGTCCAGCCATTGTTTCGATCACTTAAAAAAAGATGAAAATTGAGTCAAATCTGCGAAAAATCGCCCGAATAAAGGGCATGTTAGTAATAGATGCATTCACAAGTTCCGCACAATTGCTCCATCTTTCATATGATAATATTTGCATAAGTTAACGCTAGCTGGTATTGAACAGTTTTGCCAAAAAATAAGGAAAAAGTTTCACCACCAAGACAAGCAATTTCTATGCTACTAATTTGCCTGTTTTTATGGGCTCAAATCATAAAACGGTCATTAGCTTCCTTCTTAAGCAAACCACGAAAAAGTGCACCATCGACAGTCTTACCAAAAGATCGTTGCTACCGTATGTGCTACCACTTGGGCTACTTCCGAATGTCTCCGCTTCTCCCGAAAAGGGTAAATTCCAGGGATTCTAATTTATTCAGGAATAAAATTGAAACCTGTACGATACAAATAAATACTTAGAAAAATGCAGGCAGGAAAAGACTATAAAAGACTACCTCAAGTTCACAAAATTGAGTAATACCATAGCAAAACAGGGCTCTAAAATCACAAATAAAATAAACAATGTTCAAAAACTAACAAATTGTTATGTACTGAGTGCGTTCCATTACATAATCCAGTGTTTCTGCGACAGTTTTCAAGCACTCTTCACGTGTACATTTGCCTGCTGTGGAGCCTAAAAAAAAAGAAAATCATCAGCAACGTACAGAGAAGGCAGGATAGGCTTGTTTATCAAACAAAAGGATAAATAACTGCACAAAAACGTAATTTTTCAACCCTGAAACAAATCTCTGGAAAATCACAGCAGCAATTTTCTTACGAAACTTATACTGGAGAGTAATCCAAAACAAAAAATAAATAACTACAGATAGAAGAAAATGAATAAAAATAAAGTAGAAGAAAAACGCCTACAGAAATAATAAAATCTGTCGATATTTCCCCCGGAAAGAATTGAAACCAAAATATAGGTTTGGAGAAGTTTACCTGGATGTACATTGTAATAAATGATGCCCAGTTGTTCGCAACGTTTGCATTCATCAATCATCGAAGTTCGAGCTCGCCCCAGAATTTCCATATCCGAGCTACCACAATTTAACAAATATGATCCATGCACAACAATTTGATCCATTGGGAATTTCAATTTCTAGAAGAATTCCGTAACAGTAAGTATCATTAACGAGGTAATTACGGAATGTTGTAAGTACACCAAGGTTGAATGGCTCCAGGACCTCCCCCTCTCCCCCCCCCCTCCCCCCTATAATCATTCCCTGCTTTCCTTGGCAAAACCCTCAGTGCCTTACATTCTGTACAACAGAAACAAGTCCTTCTGTTCTGATTTGTATTTCCCCAGTTTACATCCATTCCCCTCTATATATACTCGTGTGATAATAAGGTAGCTTTTAAAATCAATCAAAATATTCCAATGCCTTAAAATGTGTACCTTGGCCGTTTCTCGAAACCGCTCCGCAACTTCTTCGCTCATCGGTGGACTGGTCCATGATCGCTGATTGCGCACAAAAAAGGCAAATGAGCGGCATCCAATCGATAAAGCATTGTAAAACCCTTGTTCCAATCCACCTGAAACATGCCACTGGAAAACTTCGTCACTTTCCAAAACCAATCATCGCATGCAGAGGGCACGAATACACAGTAAAACGATTCTAGAAAGGATTCTACACATTACATGTTGACACATAAGGCCTAAAAGATTAAAGAGGAAATAATAAAACAAGCCAAATCAGCAAGCTCATTCATCCAGCAGAAAGTATATTTATTTA